CTAAGCCCCTAAACTCCTAAACTCCTAAACTCCTAAACCCTACCCCTAAACCCCTAAACCCCTAAACCCTAAACTCCTAAACCCTAAACCCCTAAAGGCTCGACTTCGGACCTGCACGCTAACCTTTCTCGCACACTGGATCCGAGATGTAAGCCTGAAAGGTCGGAGTGGGAGCCGTGAGCAGGGTTCCTTGCAAGGTGTCCTTTACTGGGTTCTTGTTAGGGGATTTTATTTAAGCTACCATAATGGGGATCTATAGTAAATAATACGGTTTCCTTATTGTGGTAACTTAAAATAAATCCCTTACAAGAGCCCAGTTTAAGGGGTTAGGGCTTAGGGTTTAGGGTTTAGGGCGTTCTATCAAGGGTGGTTCCCTTCTAGAGGGTTTCTTTAAACGGGCTCCTCAAAGAGTTCCTCTCAAAGGTTCCTCTCCAAAGGGATCCTCTTCAAGGCTTCCCTTACAAGGGTTCCTTTCCGGGGTTCTAAACGGGGTTGTATAGGGTACCTTTAAAGGGATTCCTTTCAGGGGTTCTAAAAGGGTCTTGTATAGGGCTTAGGGTTCCAGTTTAGGGACCTGAGTCATTGGAGTTGGGCTCCTCTAACGGTGCTTTGTCAGAAACAGGAGGCTGCATGCAGCAAGTTCGGCAGCACCTTTATGGCAATCCCTTCTCTATCATCATAACACTAACTATCACATGATGTTGCATTGATCGTCACTTCCGCGGTTGTCGCTGTTGAATAGCCCCTAAACCCCTAAGTTTTAGCATGGTGCGCCCTTATCCGAACTTATCGGTTATGTATCGGTTGTATTATGTGCCAGCATAGTATGCTGCATTATTGAAAAGTACATGGAATGAAAGTGTGGTATGTTATGTTAGCTCGTACTAGGGATGATTGAGGTCGGGAGACTGTTGCGGCTTTAGGTTTTTTCTCACTCGCTGGTCGTAGGTGCGACAATGCCCCAGGCCCTTCATGTGGTGCTAACCCTTCACTACGCAACCTTTCGGAGCCTGCCGTAGCTTTTTATGTCGCGGCACACGTTACCAGGCACCTCCTTGGTCATGTAGTCTTCTAACAGTTGGTATTCTCGAAAGAGACAAGACTATGCAGTCTGTGTGCTGTGCTGTATTCTATTGTGTGCCATGGCATGTTCTGACATCGTTCTGGCATCTTACACTTGTGATACACTGCCAGTTTGGTCAAGCATCGCATTTTTTGGAAACTGTTCCATGTTGTTTGCTGGAAATCTTTATATGTCCCGCTTATGCTGTGTCGCCGTTTGACTCATTACTTCGTGTTGTTGCATCTTTGCTACATCTCGTTTGTCCATTATTACCCGCTTGTTGGTACATATGTGTACATGCCTTGTTGTGTTAAGCTCCATTTTGCCGGAATTCTACGTTCGTGTGTGGCTCCGTCCAAATTTAGCTTCGCGGTTCCGTGATCTAGTAGATGATGTGCTGCCTGGGACTGAGTAAATAGGCATTTGAGCTTATCCTTACTAAGCCCCTGTAGTTCTACCATGATACTTCTGGATGTATTGTGTTTTTGCTACATGCAACCCTGGTAGGTTCCTCTCGCACAAACTCACACGACCCCAAAACCCTGAGCTCGCATTGTGCAGTATAGAGGGATCTTCGATAATTTGCGAGTGTGTTCTTCGAGCGGTGTAAGGTTCACGTTTTTTTCGTTTGTGGACCTTGCATAGTGCAGGGGCCTAAATAATTACCAATACTATGTTGGGGGTTCCTTATTCTCGCCATAGTAACATAGGCATAGGCCCCAAAACCCTATTCTGATTATTAAGGCCCCTATACCCTAAACCCCAAACCCCAAACCCCAAATTAAACCCTAAACCCTAAACCCCATTAAGGCCCCTATATCAGAGTGCTTGTTGAGCCTTCATCCGGGGTGCAGCTGCCAGCGTTGCTTGAAAGCCTGGGCACCCAGGAGACCCCCCCAAATGGTTGAAGCCCACAAAATGTGAGCACAAATTTAGGGTGTAATAGGGTTTAGGGTTTAGGGCATAATAGGGTTTAGGGTTTGGGGTATAGGGTTTAGGGTATAATAGGGTTCAGGGTTTAGGGATTAGGGTATAATAGGGTTTAGGGTTTAGGGTAATCTGAACACCCGTGAACTCTGACGCTAAACCCCTCTGAGAGGGTTTACGGTCCAGGGTTGATGGCAGAATCTCCCAAGGATCTCTTCAACCGCATCGACGCCAACAACGATGGAGTTGTCTCTCGTGAAGAGTTTGAGAAGGCTATGCAGATGCAGGCCTGGCAATAATGAGTAATACTGAACATGTCGGAATCCCGAGTCCTGGTACACCCCAAACCCTAAATCCTAAACCCTAAACCCTAAATCCTGGACCCCAAAACCTGGAACCCTAAACCTTAAACCCTAAATCCTAAACCCTAAGTCCTAAACCCTATAATTGACCCCTGAACCCTGTACTCTCATCACTAAGGGCCCTGTCGTATCCCGCGGTTGAGGTTCTGTAAGGACCCCCGAGCTGTATACGGTACAGATGCGTGCCAGGAATAAACAAGCATATTCGTGTGAACATGCTATGCTTTCCGACTTGTGTGTTACCTGGAATGTCTTGGTATACTCTGGCTTGGTGTCATGTGACGCGCGAGAAATTTACGTACCATGCTCTCCTTTTGCACCACGTTTGGTATGTCTGTACGAGGCACCGGCAAGCCGCTTGGTCCTGCTTACGTGTTTGTACATTTTCTAGAGTAGTTTT